CCTGGTAACTCATGCCTGTAATTTTAGCACTTTGGGAAGCCCAAGGCAGGAACCCAGGAGTTCGAGACTAGCCTGAGCAAGAGCAAGACCCTGTCTCTACTAAAAAAAAATAGATAAATTACTCAGGTATTGCGGCACATGCCTGTAGTCCCAGCTACTAGGGAGGCTGAAGCAAGAAGATCGCTTGAGCCCAAGCGTTTGAGGTTGCTTTGAGCTATGATACCATGTCAGCCAGGGTGACAGAGTGAGATTCTGTTTCACTAACAGGAAAAGAAATGATCTGACCTGTTTTGATTATATGTCTTGACCTAAGACCCCCATTCCACAGAGAGTCCTGTCCCTGCCTGGGAGGAATGCTGCAGAGAGGTGCTGGACAGTTGCCAATAATCTTTCAGCCTCCCCTCACCCCCATCCTGGGTCTCTCAGAAGCACTGCTGTGTTGTTCATCCCTCCTCGATGGCCTCCTCTGTGACTGCTCCTTTCTCTCCTTTGCTGCCTCCCCCTCCAAAACTCTAAACATCTTAGTTCTTCTGCTTCTCATCAAATCTCTCTTTTTCTCTTTAAGAGACCAAGTCTTACTCTCTCACCCAGGCTAGAGTGCAGTAGCATCATCATAGCTGATAGCAACCTCGAACTCCTGAGCTCAAGTGATCCTCTTGCCTCAGCCTCGAAATAGCTGGGACTATAGGCATATGCCATCATGCCAGGCTAATTTTCCTATTTTTTGTAGAAACAGGGTCTCCCTATGTTGCCCAGGTTGGTGGTCTTGAACCTGGCCTCAGTTGATCCTCCTACATTGGCCTCTCTGAATACTGGGATTACAGGCATGAGACACTATGCCCTGCCTAGCTCCTCTTCCTTGATGGCCCTATTCATTCCTGCAGCTCAGACATCCCCTCCATGTAGGCAAATCCCAAATATCCCTCTTGCTGATCTTGCCACCAAGCACTTGCCTCTCACACCCAACTGCCAACAGGATGAAGTTATTCCTGAGCTAAACCCTTAAACCTCCTGCCATCTTCCCCTTCTCATGCAGACCTGACAGAGATGGAGGCTACAGCTGCCCATACTGCACAAGAGGGGGAACTTGCACAGTCAAGGCCTGCCCTTCTACTACATTCCTTCCCCAGCTGGCCACTGTGCCTCCCAGAAGAGGCTGCACATAGCACATACGGGGTCAGTAGGGCTGCAACTCAGACTTGACAGAGGCTTGTGGAATGAGTTTGGGCCCCAGGACAGCTGCTGTCCTGGTGCAGGGCAGGGGGTCTTTAGGAGCCAGGTGGAAGCCTCCTGCCTGTGTTCCTCACCTGCAGGGGAGGCAGCATGTACTGCTCTAGCCATCTTATTCTTACAGGGTTGTGAACAAACAGCGGCAGTGTGGGTGGATGGTGGCAGAGAGGTTTGGAGGTTTGAATTCACATGGTCTGAGGACTGGAGGGGAAGAAAGATGCATTTGAAGGCTGTCAAGAATAGAGGATCCGGAGAATGTGTTCCTGGGTACAGGGCTCAGAGCGCATGGCTTAGTGGGACTTCCAACCCTCTGGCCAGGGTCTTTTACTTTTCCCAGGCTGGACTGTGCCCCCTCCACTTGGTTGGTTGTTTGCTTGTTGTGTCCCTATCTCCCCTTCAGACTCCACTGAGAGAGGACTATGTCTGTCTTGCTCTCTGGCTACTCTAAGCATTCAGTAACTATCCACTGAATGAGTAAATGGAATATAATCTGGCCTTTGACCAATTCTGCAGCCTTGCTCTTGCCATTTCTTCCTTTGAGGTGTTCTGCACCCTCCCTCCATCTCTCTTTCCACTTGTCAAAACCTTCTTCATCCTTCAAGACCCGTTCAAATGGCACCTCCACCATGAAGCCTTCCCTGATTCTCCAGTATGGAGCCTTATTCTTCCTGCCCTGTGGCACATGGCATGCTCCTACGTATCATTTATACCTTTTGTTTGGATTATCATTATTTCTGTACCCTCTCTGTCCCCTCAATAGTCAGCAAGCTCCTGGAGGGCAGGGGCAGGCCATCTTTGTATTATCCCATCCCTATATCCTGGCATGGTACTTTTCATGAGGTTGGTGGTCTGTAAGTGCTCAGTATTAGAAGGCAAGTTTGCAGTTTGTGACTTTTTACTGATCAAGATGCTGTTTTCTTGGAGCCCAATGCTGTGTTCCTGAGCCTCCATTCAGGTTGGGAACTTATCTGGCGCAGTGTGAGCCATCTCTAAGGTCTCCCTCTCTCTTCTCTACCCTATCACTGCTAATTGCTTTGCCTAAATTGTGCCCCACCCCAGCACCACTGCAGACATTTGCATGGCCTGACCACAGCCAATATGTGGGGGAAGGTTGAGCTGCAGGCATTTTCTGGTCTCATAAGGTCCCTTGGCAAGAGCCCAGGAGCGCAGAGATAGCCTGATGGAGGGGCCTGGGTCCCGGGCTGGGGGTGGGGGGGGATGTCCAGGGGCCCCTGCACTGTCCCAAGGTGCTGAAGAAGTAGAAAAATGCAGGGTGAACCTGAGTCTGCTCTCTGTGGCCACCATCTGTGCTGACAGAGGCGATAGCAGGGTGTGAGTGTGTTTGTGTATATGTGTGTGCATGTGTCTGGGAGTTGAGTGAGTCATCAGGGAGGGGCTGAGGCCCAGCAAAGGCTGATCCTCCCCAAGCCCTTCCTGTGTGGGGTGTCAGAGATTGAGTGGCAGCTTTTTTCCGGCAGATCTAACACTGGTGTTAGTTTCAGGGAGGTTTGTTGCTAAGTTAGACCCCATACTCATGCTTGGCCCTGAGGAAATCCTTACCAGCGTGATAACCTCTTGCTAAGGGAAGCAAACAGATGCTCCCAGAATTGTCTGGGGGATGGGCAGTCTTAGGAAGGGAGCCCACGGAACTCTGGGCTCAGGCTGTGGGCAGTTTGGGTCCTCCAGGCTGGGGGCACAGGCTGGTGGTAAGCAAGAAAGGGAAGGAGGCAGCACCTGCCTCTAGGAAGGCACAAGGCTGGCCAAGGAAGGAGTTGGTTCTAGAAGGAGGCAGGCCCAGGCAGGGCTAGAAACAGAACTGGTAGGACTTGGAAAGGTGGGAGCTGAGAGGGTCAGCCTCTTGACACTTTAACACAGAAAGTCCCCCAGTAGCCAGCACCTAGTGCTTTCAGGAGGAACTCAACCAGCAGAGCTTGCAAGAATTTACTACAGGAACTTTGGTAGACACTGCAGGAAACCCAAGAATATTAAAAACCAATACACTGGCTCAGCATCTGTAGCTCAAGCAGCTAAGGGGCCAGCCGCATACACCAGAGCTGGCAGGTTTGAATCCAGCCCAGGCCTGCCAAACAACAATGACAACTACAACCAAAAAATAACCAGGCATTGTGGAGGGTGCCTATAGTCCCAGCTACTTGGGAGGCTGAGGCAAGAGAACCGCTTAAGCCCAGGAGTTGGAGGTTGCTGTGAGCTGTGACACCATGGCACTCTTCCCAGGGTGACAGCTTGAGACTCTGTCTCAAAAAAAATAAAATAAAATAAAATAAAAACAATTACATAGGCCAGGCAGGGTGGCTCACGCCTATAATCCTAGCACTCTGGGAGGCTGAGGGTGGTGGATTGCCTGAGCTTACAGGTTTGAGACCAGCTTAAGCCAGAATGAGACCTTGTCTCTAAAAATAGCCAGGCGTTGTGGCAGGCACCTGTAGTCTCAGCTAGCTACTTGGGAGGCTGAGACAAGAGAATTGCTTGAGCCCAAGAGTTTAAGGTTGCTGTGAGCTATGATGCCAGGGCACTCTACCCAGGGAGACAAAGTGAGACTCTGTCTCAAAAAACAAACAAACAAAAACAAAATACACAAACAAAATGATCTGGACGGTAGACAATTGTGGTTGCTCAGAGTGAGAGCCAGGCCTCTTAGGATTTATTTACTTATTTTTATTATTATTATTTTTGAGACAGAATCTTAAGCTTTCACCCTGGGTAGAGTGCTGTGGCATCAGCTCACAGCAACCTCAAACTCTTGGGCTCAAGTGATTCTCTTGCCTCAGCCTCCCAAGTAGCTAGGACTACAGGCACCCACCACAATGCCCGGCTATGTTTTGATTGCAGTTATCATTGTTGTTTCGCAGGCCTGGGCTGGATTCAAACCCACCAGCTCTGGTGTATTTGGCTGGCGCCCTAGCCATTGAGCTACAGGGGTCAAGCCCCTCCTAGGATTTAATTCCAGCTCTTACACAGATGATCTTGGGCAACTTAAACTCAGTTTCTTCTAAAAAATGGGGCTAATCATCATATCTGCTTCATTAAATGAGTTAATATGCATAGAGCAGTTAGAACAATGCCTGACACCATAGGAAGCACAATATAAGCATATACTGCTATTATTATTATTGTTATTTGGGACAGAGTCTCACTATGTCACCCTGGGTAGAGTGCTATGGCGTCATAGCTCACAGCAACCTTAAACTCTTGGGCTCAAGCAATTCTCTTGCCTCAGCCTCCCAAGTAGCTAGGACTACAGGCACCCACCACAATGCTTGGTTATTTTTGTTGTTGTTGTTGTAGTTGTCATTGTTGTTTAGCAGGCCTGGGCCTGTTTGAACAGCCAGCCCCAGTGTATGTGTCCGGTGCCCTAACTGCTGAGCTGCAGGCACTGAGCCAGCATATACTGCTGTTATCATTTAGAACTGACATCTAGGACCCAGGATCTGTGGGATAGCTCTTGCTGATCAAAGTTGGGCCTGCTAACCAAACAATGGTATCTATCACCAGGCAGCCTGTTAAAAATGCAGACTCGCTCAGTGCTGGATGCACGAATCCGAAGCTGCTTTTAGCAAGGGCCTGGGGTGAACGGGGTGCACATTAGTTTGCTAAGCACACCTGAAGCCACACCCAGCACCTAGATAGAGATTGGGAGATTTTAGGAAGGAGGCCAGCAAGGCTTAGGTCCCCAAGGCCTGGAAATCCCTCAGCTGCTTTCTAGCGGGGCATTTCATGTGGAAACGCTGCTGCCCTTCAAGCCAGGGTCCCTACACGTCAGTGTGTTGGGACAGCCTGGTGCCAGGGACCAGGGTCGGGGTGCGGTGGCTGAGGCCGCCCACCCAGACCTTGGGGGAGGCCGCAAGGTCGAGCGGTGGTTTGCCGGAGTACCAGGAGCTCAGGAGGCGGTCCACCTGCTCCCGGCTGGAGATGGCGCGCAGGTGGACCTTCCCGGGTTCACTGTCCAGGTGCTCCGGCGGCTCCAGGTGCTCCGCGGTGTCCCTGCGCAGCCCGCGCGCGCGCAGCTCGCTCTGCATGCTGGCGAAGAAGTGCAGCACGCAGCGGTGCGCGAAGTCCCGCGCGTGCTCACAGCACGTCTCGTCGAAGAGCTTCTGTTCCAGGTCCACGTAGTTGCTCCAGTACCTGCGCTGCAGGAAGACTGTCTGGTCGAAGCAGGGCCTCAGGCAGCGGGCCAGGAAGGCAGCCACGATGAGCAGCAGAGTGATACTCCAGCCGATGGCCTGGACGTGGGGAGGCACGAAGTGGGGTGTGGGTGGGGTGCGGGTACCGCAGCAAAGGTGTTCCAGAGCCCCTCTCTTTACTTCTCCTTCCGTTCTTCCTCACACACCTTCCCATTCGGTCATCCTTCCTACCAACCATCCTCTATTCATCCATTTTTTCTTCCATTCATTCTCTCATCTTGGCATCCATCCACCCATCCAACAAACCACATCCCCACCCATCCATCCAATCTTCCTTCTCATGTGACTGTATATCCATCATCTTCCCATCCAGCCATCCTCAAATCATCCTTCCATCTGTCCATCATCCATTCTCTTGGCCATCCATCTCCTCCCACCATTCCTGCTCCTGTGCTCTCATCCTTCCTTCCATGCACTCATCAACCACCCCCTCATCTTTTCATCCAGTCCTTCACCTTCCTCCTGTGTGCCTGTGTGTCAATCCTCCCATACAGGCGCCCATCCCTGCTATGTTTTGTAGGAGGCACTATGCTGGGCACTATCCCGCAGAAGAGACAGACAATTAAATAGATGGTGACTGACTACATGTCATAATGGGAACTGCGTAGGGCTTCACAGGAATTCTGAGGAGGGACACCCCAAGCTGCACATGAGGGCTCAGGGAAGAGTAAGACCTGAAGGATAAGTGACACAGTTGTTCAGAATATGAGCAGGCGAACAGAGTTCCAGGCCAAGAGTGAGGAAGCAGTTCTCTAAGGCCAGCAGACTCCTCTTCCCCCACCTACCTGCCAAAGCTATAGTCTCTTCACAGCTAGCTTACGACCTGAACAACTATATGGCCCTGGATCAGGAAGTTACTCACTAACCCATAAAGACACATGTGAATCCCTGTCATTTGAAGATGTGATTGCCACAATTTTTAAAGCTCTCTCATTTGGCCCCTCATGGAATACTCCCACCCTCACCAAAGACAAGTTGACTCCTTCATACATGAGAAGCAGAAAACCAAAACTTCACACGACTGAAAACTTACCCTGGTCTGACTGCAAATTCCATGATTTTTCCACTCTGAGCTAGAGTACTGAAGCCTGCAGAGACCATCGCAGTGGAGAGACCAAACCCCTTTATTTTGGTTTGCAGGAGAAACTGAGGCCCAGAGGGGCAATGCCCCAGCCAAGGTCATAGTCTGAACCAGAATCAAGTGCATTCTGAGCACTGATCCTCTGCATCATGGGCCTGGGGTGAATGGGGTGCACATTAGTTGCATCATGGATCTGTATTTGTCCTGAGAGTCCCCAGAGGGCAGGGTTGTATCTCTGTTATCTACAGCTCTAGTGGTGCTCCATGGGTAGTAGATCCCATGCATAATTTTTGGTGGGTACAGCCCAGCACTGGGGCTCTGGGGGAGGTGGTGATGGAATCCAGAGTCTGGGCTGGGGTTTGTCCCCAGGATAATGGAGTTGGTGCCCTTTGGGGAGCCAGGCAGCCAGAGAAGACCTGTGTTGTAGGAGTATATGGGATGGTGGCAAGGCAGAGCAGTATATCCCCAGCCCTCTCTTGCCATTCAGCCTCCTGAGGAAGGGCCTAGATGACTTCTGGGTGGGTCTGGGCACCTAGGCTGTGACCTGGGGTGAGTCAGTGTTGAAGGTCCCACACTGTCTTGTCCTGTGTCATGCTCCAGATCTCCCCAGGAGCCACCTGCTTTTTGGTTGTGTCTCCAGCAGATGGGAGGAGCCTCAGGAATCATTTCTACCTCCTTACCACCCCACCCCAACCCAGGACCAATGCAGGATATTTGTGAGGGTGCCAGGGCAGGGGGAGGCCCACCCCAATTACCTGTGACAGGCACCGCAAGTAGCGAGACACTGCTTTCCGAGCAGAACTGTCCCTGACCAGCTCATCTTCCTTGCAGGGTACCTTAGCCAGGAAAAGCTGTACCTGGCTGGAGGTCATATTGGCAAAGTCCAAAAACTTCTCAGGGTCCACAAAACTGCTGAAGGCACACACAAAGCACTTCCCATCCAGGAGGGCCAGCAGGATCCAGACCAGCGGGGCAGCCAGCGCCCTCTGCAGCACAGAGAAGCACATATACCTGGAGCATAGGAAAGAGAGATCACAAAGGGACCCTGGAATTCAGCTGCAGCAGGAAGGCTACAGGGGAGGTGTAAGGATGGACTTCCCAGGAGGGTTACATCAAGCTGTAGCTTCCAATGTAGAGTTCTCAGCAATAGAAGGCAGCGAGGAAAGAGGATGGGGCCGGGGAGGGCCTAGCCATCCCAGGACTGGAATACTAAGGAGCTGGTATTCCTCTTGCTCTAGGCCTTGTAGCAGATACTGCCAGTGCCCTGCCCATGCTAGAGGCAGCTATGGCTTTGGCAGCTATTCATGTGGAGGGTCTGAGGGCCTCCGGCCTTCAGCACCTGTCTTGTTCTGCTTTGGAGAGTTCTCTGCTCCTGAGAGGGGCAGGCTAAAGACTGAAAAGTTAACCCCCAAATCAACTTTCAGCCCAAGCCCAAGAGGGATGGGCCTGGTGGGTAAATACCAGCTTCCTAGACTCTCAGTGGATCAGTTCTTAGATGTGTTCTACACACCCTCTCAGAGGGTCCCTGGAGGGATTGAGCCCAGTTGCCCAGAGCCTGCTTTGAGGGGAAACCTAAACTAAGACAGCCCTCCCCACTAACTTCCCCAAAGGCCGTACCTCAAACATTGCTCCCTGCCCTGGCATCCCAGAAACCCACCTTCTCACTGGTCTCAGGCGCCTTTCCTGCCCCTCACTGCCCCTCTAGTGACCTGGGCTGGGTGTTGGTCACAGAATGGGAGCCCAGGGGAGCTGCGTGCACTGGACCCCAGAGGAAAAGGCAAAGCGCACGCCAGTGCACAAGTTCCCCCTGCATGGCTGAATCACGGGAGGGTGTAATCCCTGAGAACTGGAAACAGAGGCTGCCTGTGCACAGGATGAGGATGTTGATTCTAACCTGGATTGTACAGGAAACAGTGTGCACGCAGCAGGGCCTACCCAGTGGCAAATTATAAATATGCTGTAAGCATGGTGGCCCCAGTGTTTTCTTTGGAGGATCCTTGTGATGCAGTCACATTAGATGTGACTGAGATCACCACATCTGTCCATATCAGAGAATAAGGGAGAGGAGGGAATGGTGAATGACCTAACACCCACCATGGCACTCCTGCTACAGCTCACACTTAGCTGTTTTCTCCAAAACACCAAGGGTAGATGCTCCAGTGTGGGCTGTGGAGCATCCACAGTGGTACCAATGCCCAGCTGAGGAAGTTTGGTCAGCTGCTTAACTTCTCTGTGCTTCAGGTTCCTCATCCTTAAAAATGGGCCTGGCGGCTTGGCGCCTATAGCTCAACCGGCTAAGGCGCCAGCCACGTACACCTAAGGTGGCGGGTTCGAATCCCCAGCCCAGACCCGCCAAACAACAAT